TACCTATGTGATTGCCTGTCAAAGTGAATCTGGCCAGGTTCATTTTTGCTTGTTTGTTGGGGGAGGGCAGAAACACACACACACACACACACACAGACACACACACTCTTTGCCCTAATAATTCATTGTTTGTGTGTATTTGGAGTAAAAGTTTTATCTGTTTTGTTTTTTTTTTTTGGTCGGTCGTGGGGCCTGAACTCTGGGTCTGGGCACCATCCCTGAGCTCTTCAGCTCTAGGTTAGTGCTCTACCACTTGAGACACAGCGCCACTTCCGGCTTTTTCTGCTTATGTGGTGCTGAGGAATCGAACCCAGGGCCTCATGCATGCAAGGCAAGCATTCTTACCACCGAGTCACCTTCCCAGCCCCTGTATTATTTTTTTTTTTTTTGTTGGTTGTTGGGCTTGAACTCTGGGCCTGGGCACTGTCCCTCAGCTATTCAGCTTAAGGCTAGCGCTCTACCACTTGAACCACAGTGCCACTTCCTATTTTCTAAGTGGTTCATTGGAGATGAGTCTCATGGACTTTCCTGCCTGGGCTGGCTTTGAACCGTGATCTTCAGATCTCAGCCTCTGAGTAGCTAGGATGACAGATGTGAGCCACCAGTGCCCAGCTCTATCTGTATTTTTACAGCATACTTTAAAACATATTATTCAAGGTTCACTGTTTATACATGACCCTTGGTTTCTAAGACAATTAAGAGGAACTGGCAAGCCTGCCTTGACTCTGGGAGACTTAGTATCTCTGTCTTAGAAACCAAGAGCCATGACAAAACCAGCTTCTTGGTGTTTCCCAGCAGGAGTGGAAGATGCCAAGGCATTCAAAAGTAGTCATTTTCCTTTTTTTTTTTTTAATTATTTAAGGAGTTGTACAAAGGGGTTACAGGTAATGAGTACAACGCCACACCATAGAAGACATTTTCTTTCTTTTTTCCTTCCTTCCTTCCTTCCTTCCTTCCTTCCTTCCTTCCTTCCTTCCTTCCTCTCTCTCTCCCTCCCTCCCTCCCTCCCTCCTTCCCTTTCTTCTTTCTTTCTTTTTTTTTTTGGTCGATCGTGGGCCTTGGACTCTGGGCCTGGGCGCTGTCCCTGTGCTCTTCAGCTCAAGGCCAGTGCTCTACCTCTTGAGACACAGCACCACTTCTCTTTTTCTTTTTTGTTGTAGAGCTTGAACCGGGGCCTGAGCACTGTCCTGAGCTTTTTCTGCTCAAGGCTAGCATCCTTTCACTTTGAGCCACAGTGCCGCCTCTGTTTTTCTGGTGGTTAATTAGAGAGCCACCAGCACTCAGCTAGAAGCCATTTTATTGCAGAAAGCTTTAAGCATTGTCTCACTAGCAAGACGGCAGACCTCAGGAGAAACTCACTAGCATTTCCTAGCTGGCCAGGTCGGAGTCCACAGGTAGAAAGCAAGAGCTTCTTCCCATCATTTCCACAAAGGCAACCCCATTCTCTATCAGTATTGCAAATCAGTTTAATGCCATCAGTAGCTTAAAAGGAATGAGAACTGCCAGGAGCCTGGAATCCTAACTACACAGGAAGCTGAGATCTGAGGATTTCAGTTCAAATCCAGGTGGAGCAGGAAAGTCTGTGAGACTTTTATATCCAACTGATCACCCGTGGCTCAAGTGTTAAAGTGTTAGCCTTGAGCACAAAAGCTTAGAGACAGTGCCCGGATCCAGAGCCCAAGCCCCAGTACTGGCGTGCGTGCGCACACACACACACACAAAATGAGAAATGAGCCAGGTAGGCCTGTCTTCTTGCATGATTTTTGTTGTTGTTGTGTATGTTCTAGTATTGGGGCTTGAACTCAGGGCCTGGGGTGCTGTCCCTTAGCTTTAATTGTTCAATACTGGTGTTCTGCCACTGAGTCTCAGTTCCACGTCAGCCTTTTTGTTGGTTAACTGAAGATAAGGTCTCACTGACTTTTCTGCCTCAGGCTGGCTTTGAACCACCACCCTTAGATTTCAGCCTCCTGAGTAGCTAGGACTACAGGCATGAGCCACCGGCTCCTGCAGGTTTGCCTGCTTCCTTCCCTGCTGCTATGTTTGGCTAAGCTAGTACCTAGACAGCCATCCCTATGAACTCTTTCCTTATGCGCCTTCTTTAAGCCTGGGAGGCCAGGAGCCAACGGTGAGGACCAGGCGACAGACAGTGTGCGGGCCGTCAGCGTGCGCACTCTTTACCTGATCAGCACCACGGTGGACAGGATGAGTGACGTGAGTGTGCACCTCCGCAGGCCCAGACACCAGGCCTGCGGCCTCCTGCTCTGCCAGAGTTCCCCACCCTGCCCTGGGACTTGGCCCCTTCCCTGTCCCTGCCCCTGGTGACAGGTGGACAGTTGGCCTCCAGGGCGGCGGCAGGCCTTCTCAGCCTCAGCAGCAGAACCGCCTGCCCACACCTGAATTCCTCAAAGTGGTCCTGCCCCTGCACGTGTCCCACAGGCAGGAAGTGAGCCCTCTAGGTGTCTGGCTGTCCTGCAGGCCACCCTCACCCAGCTGCATGGCAGACCAGGGCTCTCCACTCCCCAGGTCCTCTGGCCGTACCTGCTTGAGTTCCTCACCCCTGTGCACTTCACCGCAGCCCTGACCCCACTCTGCAGGAGCCTGGTGCATCTGGCTCTGAAGAGACAAGAAACGGGTGCAGATGCCTTCTTGGTCCAGTATGACACCCACGGTGCGCAGGCCCCACATCCCAGCACTCTGCCCCTGTGCAGGACCCCCAGCTGCGTGTCCCACACGGCCCTGCGTGCGGCCCCACTCAGTAACTGTTTCATGTCTCTTGTCCAGCAAACCTCCCATCTCCCTACGCTGTGACCACGAGACTGCTGGTAAGGGAAGTGTCGCTCTTTCCAAGCTCACTGGTTACCACCCCTAAGGGGGAGACACTTGTCAGTTGTGGCCCTGGTGCCTCTGAAGAGGTCAGGAGAAGAATGGGCTCCCTCTGCCCCATGCCTGGTGGGTTGCATGCAACCCTTGCCGCCTCCTCAGCGTGGCATGTTCCGCCAGACATGGCCAGGCTTCCGCGTGCCGGGAGCCAGCTGCTGCAGCTTCAGCTAGAGGCTCAGGTGTGGGCATGGGGACCAGTTCCTATCTCATACCCCTCAGGTGGTGTCTTGTAGCCCCTACCTGGGGGACGGGCGGGGGGCAGCCTCCCTGCGCCTCCTGAAGGTTCTGCATGGAAGCATCTACCCTTCTCTGGGCCAGCGGTGGGAGACAACTGTGCCTCTGCTGCTGGAGTACCTGGATGGTAAGAGTGGAGGGGCGGTGAGGCCTGTGGTCCTGGAGGAGAAAGGCTCGCCAGTCACCGCCACCCCAGCTGTGCCTGGTGGCGTTGGGGCTTGCTGGCATAGACCAGGGTTTTATCATTTCATGGAATCACCTTACTGGTGATGGAAAAGGCCTGGACATAGCCAGGCGCAGTGCTCAAGCCTGTAATCCTGGCTACTCAAGAGGCTGAGAGCTGAGGATTGAGATTCAAAAGCAGCCCACTCAGACAAAGCTCAAGAGACTCTTATCTCCAAGTAACCAGTTAAAAGCCGGAACTAGAGGCGTGGCTTGGCTGGTAGAGCTCCAGCTGTGAGGATAGAAGCTTAGTAAGAGTGCAAGACCCTAGATTCAAGCCCCAGCAAGTATATGAAGAGGCCTGGGCAGCGTGGATGCCCTGTGTGCTGGGGTGGGTGCTGGGCTGACTGCTCGCTCTTTGTGGAGCCTCAGCAGCCAGGGAGGTGCAGGGTGCTGCTGCCCCTCGCGGGCTCCTCCGGCGGGCCTGCCCGCGGGACCCAGGCTAATGAGGCTGTGGTTGTTTCAGAGCACACTCAGGAGACACTGTCACAGAAGGAATGGGAGGAGAAGCTGCTGGTGGTGAGATGGGCGAGAGGCCGAGGGCCTGTGTGCCGGCGCTGAGACGCTCTGCGCCGCTCCGCTGGGGTGGGGCCGGGGGAGGGGCAGGGGCCACCTTTAAAAATGCCGGGATGGACCCCCACCCTGTGGTAGCTAGCACCAGACGGAGGGGCTTTCGGCCACCCTGGCCACAGAGTGTTCTCTCCCCTCTTCTCTGGCCCAGAGCCACCTGTGCCCTGAGCCTGCTGCAGGGCTGCCCACCCACCCATGGCAGGCTCAGAGGCTGCGCTTGACCAGCAGGCGGGGGCCCCCTGGTGTGGTCACGTGGTAACACGGCCAGGCCCAGGCCTCTCCTCACTGGTGCCCTCACGCACAGTTCCTGCGGGACACACTGACCGTTGTTTCTGACAACACGTGGATTTGCCAGCTCAGCCAGGAGATGTGCAGGCAGCTGCCCTGTTACAGCAAGACACCCCAGGAGAAGGTGCGGGCAGATCTCGGCATGGCTCCCAGGACCCTGGTTGACCCTGGTGGCCCTGGCGGAGCGCAGAAAGGAGGGCTGTGCCCCTGCTCAGAGTGGCCGGCAGCTTCCCACAGCTGTGCTCTCTGGCTTGGTTTTAGAACTTCCTGTATAAATGCATAGGAACTGCCCTGGCTGCTGCTTCAAGCAAGGAGGTGGTGGGAAAACACCTCCGGGAGCTGCTGGAGACAGCCAAGTACCAAGAGGAGGCAGAGCGGGAGGTGCAGACTGGTGCCTGGGCTACCTGTCAGTGGCTACCACTGTCGTGTGTGTGTGTGTGTGTGTGTGTGTGTGTGTGGCGCGCACATGTGTGCGCATATAGATACAAGGGCGTGCATGGTGGGCCCTCCACATCACTCACGTATGTGAGTTCATGCTGCGTGCAGTGGGCATGTGCTCCTCCCTGTGCACAGCAGATGGGTATGTGGGGCCTCCCGCCCAAGAGTGAGCACCTGGGGCCTCTGCAGGGCCTGGCCTGTTGCTTTGGGATCTGTGCCATCGCCCACCTCGAGGACACTCTGGCACAGCTGGAGGACTTCGTGAGGTCAGACGTGTTTAGGAAGTCTACTGGCATCTTCAGCATTTTCAAGGTATGGAGGACTGGATGGGAAACATGTCCTGTTTGCATAGTTGCTCTGTGTGTCAGCGTCTTGGTGATCTTCCCCTGAGGGCAGCTCTGCCTTTTCATCACATTAAGGCCAGAGGCAGAGTACTGTGTGCTCAGTGTAGAATAAAAAGCCAGCACCTTGTGCTGCAGCAACTTTCTTTGTGTGTGCCAGTCCTGGAGCTTGAACTTGGGGCCTGGACACTGTCCCTGAGCTTTTTTGCCCAAGGCTAGAGCCCTACCACTTGAGCCACAGCACCACTTCTGGCTTTTTTTGTGTGTGTGGTTAATTGGAGATAAGAGTTTCATAGACTTGCCTGACCAGTCTGGCTTTGAACCATGATCCTCATCTGTCTCTTGAGTAGCTAGGATTACAGGTGTTAGTCACCTGCACCCGGCTTCTGTAGCAACTTTGCTTCCTGTGCTCCCTCTCCGGAGCACTAGCTCCCCTCCCAGAAGAGGAAATAGAAAACTCCCCCAAAAGCAAACCCACCTAGCGACAGGTTGCTGTGGTTGTGAGTGATGACAGGGCACCCTGGGTGGCAGGATGGTGTGTTAGTTTTCCATGGCTGTGACAAAATGAACTTTACGGAGGTAAGATTCATATTGGCTTGTGCTCTCAGAGACTATGGTCTGCATCCACCCACCTTGCTGCTTTTCGTCCTGTGGCGAGGCAGGGCGTGATGGTAGAGGGTGCTGCTCACACGGTGGCTGGGAAGCAGCAAGGGCTCCATTTGATAAAGCCCACTAAGCTCTGGTTAGGTGAGAGCATTCGTGGAGATCACCTCCAAAGGCCCTGCCTCTGAACACTGCTTCCCTGGAGACTTAAGCTTTGGAGACACTTAAGATAAGAGCCCTCACGGGGGACCCTGGAAGCTGGCTCGTGCTGTGTGGCCAAGCTGCCTGCACCACCTTTGCTTCCTGGTGGCCAGCAGAGGCTGCGTTCTCTCCAAGGTCTGATTTCAGAAAGTGGTGGGCTTCCCCACCTGTCCCCACCCTGCCATTGTCCTTTCCCGTCCCTTCTTTTGCTACGTAGCCCAAGCAGACCTTGAACTCAGGATGCGCCTGCGTCAGCCTCCTTGGTGCTGGGATGGTGAATGGGCCCCTCTGCCTGGGGTAACTGCGCAGGTGTGCCAGGCCCGTGCACTCTGGTACAAGTTGATAGGCCAGCACAGGGCTGGTGTGCAGGCACATCCCATCTCCATCCGTTTCCATCCAGTGGTTCCCCTCTACTTCCACCTTGTCCCTGGTGGCCCACCCTCCCTCCCTGGTTGGCACCTGAGCTGTGGGTGTGGCGCTGCTGCTTTCCCTGGATTTGGACCTTCAGGACTGAAGGAGCTCAGAAATGCTGTTTCCATCTAAGGCTTCCGTGGGGGAGTAGGTGAGGGTCACTGGCGTCTGCTCTGTAGGCTGTCTGCCCAGATCCTTGACTTGGTCCCAGGAGGCTGCCTCGAAGGCTCCAGGCCACAGTGGCTGCGTCTCTGGCTGCACTGGAGAGGAGGGGTGTGCGCCGGCCTCGGCCGTGGCCCTCGGCCCTCGGCCCTGCGGCCCGTCGCGGCTGAGCAGCACTGGGAGAGGAGTGGGCAGCCTCTTGCAGCCAGGTGTCTTTCCAGGACTTAGGGTAACAGTTCCTCTGCTTGCCAGGATCGAAGTGAGCACGAAGTGGAAAAAGTAAAGAGTGCTCTGATTCTGTGTTACGGGCACGTGGCCGCCCAGGCCCCGCGAGAGATGGTGCTGGCCAAGGTGGAGTCGGACATCCTGCGCAACATGTTTCAGTGCTTCAACACCAAGGTGGGTGTGGCCGTCGCCTGTGGGTGGGCCACGGGACACCAGGCTTACATCTTAATTTGTTTTACTCTTTGTCATTCAGGTTCTGGGAATAAAGGTAGAAACCAAGGTACCGTGTATAGGAATTGCGTGGGAACTGTGCTTTTCTGTCTTTCCTGTGGGCTGGGCTTTGGGGCAGAGCCAGACCCGGCGCTCACTGGGCTTCCTAGCCACAGCTCTAGGGAGCAGCTTTGAATGTGGTTCTGGGCCTCTCCTGCCTGCCTCCCTTTGGAACAGTGCCCTTTTCTAAGGCTTTAGTCCCATTCCCAGTGGCAGCCGGAGGCTCTTCTGGCTCTGCTCCCTACTACCTTCAGGGGTGCCCTTCTCTAGCAGCCAGCACCACCCAGGGGAGGGCTGAGCACAGGCTAAGGGCCAGGGGGTGGAGGCTCGCCTGGCCTCACTAACACGCTTCCCTCCTGGCACCTCTGGCACTAACCTGTCAGCCTCCTGTGAGGAGCAGAACGCTCCCCTGTGAGGCCACAGGCCAGCTGGCCCCACGGCGAGGCGTCTTCTGCTTCAGGGTCTGGGCTCACCGCAGGGCGTCTGCTCTGTGGGCTGTCTGCCCAGATCTTTGACTTGGTCCCAGGAGGCTGCCTCGAAGGCTCCAGGGCCACAGTGGCTGCGTCTCTGGCTGCACCGGAGAGGAGGGGTGTGCGCCGGCCTCAGCCGCGGCCCTTGGCCCGTCGAGGCTGAGCAGCACTGGGAGAGGAGTGGGCAGCCTCTTGCAGCCAGGTGTCTTTCCAGGACCCGGCCCTGAAGCTGTGCCTTGTCCAGAGCCTGTGCATGGTCGGCCAGGCCATCTGCAGCAGCACACAGGCCAGCTCCTTCTACTTCTCAAGGAAAGCGGAGCTGGTAGCGCAGATGTTGGTGAGCACTGGGCAGTGAGTGCTGGCTGGGAGTAGAGGAGGTGGCTGGGGAGGCCCAAGGGGTGAGTGTGGGATGCATCTTGGGATGCAGAGAGGAGCTCTGTGGGGCTCCTGTGCCCCCTTCGTAAGGGCCAGGCCTGGGAGGCTGGTGCCTGCTCCCGGGTCTGAGTGCTGCGCTACATCACACAGGAGTTCATCAGGGCAGAACCCCTGGATGCCCTGCGAACACCCATTCGGAAGAAAGCCATGCTCACCTGCACTTACCTAGTGTATCCTTCTCCGTGGCCGCGTGGCCGCCGTGGGCCCGGGGTCTGTTCACGCAGGCATGGCTTTGCAAGGTGAAGCCGTGAGTCTGAACTTAGCTGTGTGGCGTGGCAGTCCGCCCACGTGGGGTCGTCACCCGGGCCCCTTAACTTGCTGCTCAGCCACCTGGAGCCAGCGCTGGAGGAGCCTGCCCAGGCCGAGGTGATCCACAGCTGCCTGCGCAGCGTCATGGCCCTGCCTCCTGAGCCTCAGGAGGAGGATGGCACCTGCCAGGAGGTACTGCCACGTGTCCCTCTTCACGTCCCTGCGTCTGTGGTGGCTGGGGGGGGGGGCACTGTAGGTGATGGCTCTTGTATCCTTCCAGCCCCTGTATCTGGACACGGTCCACGCCCTGGAGGACTTGCTGACCAGCCTGCTGCAGCGCAACATGACCCCCCAGGGCCTGCAGGTCATGGTCGAGGTACTGTGCATGCAATGTTGAGGGCTTGGGGACTCCCTCGCTGCCAGCCAGCCCCTGTTTTGTCAGCCCACCATTACCACCCCCTGTAGGTGCTACCGGGCATTTGTAAGGGGAGCCGAGGGGCCTGACTCAGAGCCTCGGAGGCCCCAGCCCCTGGCACTAGAGCTCCTGCCTAGTGAGATGGCGTGGAGCCCACGCCTTCCAGGGCTTCGGGGGCTGAGGCAGCACCGGCACCCACCTTGGTGCCTGAGCCCGACGGGGGCCTGGCTGGCTCCCCTTGCCCGTGGTGGGCAGTGTGTGTGAGCCACGCGGAAGGGAGGGGTGGCAGGGGAGGCTGCGGTGGCTCCAGAAGCAGGAGGCATGCCGGGTCCCTCCTTGCGGGGACGCAGAGATGGGGGTTCCTGTCCTTCTCGGCTGCCTCTAGAGCTGCCACCCTCTGCCCCAGCACCTGAGCCCGTGGATCAAGTCCCCGAGAGGCCACGAGCGAGCACGGGCCCTTGGCCTGAGTGCCTGCCTGCTGCAGTACTTCCTGGAGCACCTGCAAGTCAGTGTGAGTGCTTGGGCCAGAGGCTGTCCCGTGGTGCCCATCCCTGCCCCTGCCTGGGACCCTGTGTCTGCGGCTCTCCTGTCCCAGTGCACGCTCAGGGCCCTTGGGCTTCCTCCCGCCATTGTCCCTGCTCATCCCGCAGTCTCTGGCTGACGGGGCAGAGGACCTGTCCTGGCCTGGAGCTGCCCCTGCCCGGCTTGGGTTTAGTCACCAGTCAGGCACGCTCAGGCCTTCGCCGCCATGCTAGTTGGCTGGACTGGCAGTGTTACTTTTCTGCATGTTCCAGAAACCCCTGCATGTTTGTGATCATGACATCTTTGACTTGGAAGAGATGCCACATGTGTACTAGGCTTTCTGTCACCTCTCAGAATTACTTGTTTATTATTCATTCCCTTGATAACTGTGCTTGTTTGTAATGTGCCGGACCTTTCGCTGGTTTCTTTATGTTTTGCACTTTTGTACGTACTTCAATGGGCTTTCCCAGCATGCCCAGGTCAGCTGAGCAGAGCAGATCCCACCCCATGCTGGGGGGGGGGAGCAGCTCACTGGGGGCCATAGCAGCCAGAGAGGAGCCAGGCTGGGAGCACTCCTCCTCTGGCCCCGAGGCATGGGCTGTGCCTACCTACACCCCCCACGCTCTGTCTCCATCCCAGGCCCTGGTGCCCTTCCACAACCTGGGCCTCCTTGTCGGCCTCTTCTCCCCACGATGTGCGGACATGTGGCTTGCTACTCGCCAGGAGGCAGTGGGCTGTGTCTACTCCCTGCTCTACTTACAGCTGGGCTATGAGGGTGAGCCCTGTGGAGAGGGGCGGGGGGGGGGGCAGAGGTGCTAAGAGGTCACTGGGGAAGGTCTGTGTCTTACCCCGTCTGCTGCTTAGGCTTCTCTAGAGACCACCGTGATGACGTGGCTGAGCGGCTCCTTGCTCTGAGAGACGGCCTCGCGCACCCGGACCCCACCATCCTCTTCCACACGTGCCACAGCATCGCCCAGGTGCCCGCTGGGATGCCGAGGCAGGAGGAAGCCAGCGCATCTGTGAGGGAGGGGCTAAGTGGCCCAGCTCCTCGCAGAAATCCTGCTGGGGCCGCCTCTGACTTAAGCCCACCTGCTGGGCACCACGACCGTGCAGCAGAAGGGTACTGTGTGTGAGGCAGACTTGCCCAGCAGCTCTTGCCACCTGTTCCGGCCGTGTGCTCACTGAAGACAGGGTCAGGCCCAGACCCTGTGTGCAGCCCAGTCTGCAGGCCCCACGGGAGGGCGGCCCTGGCCCTGGCAGGCCTCAGGGCCTTTGCTTCCAGCTGACTGAAGTGCTCAGTTGGACTGCAGGCTGCGCGGTCTCTGAGGCCTGGCGAAGCTCTGAGTGGGGCACGTTGCCCCTCTCCATTGGCCCTTCCTTGGCCCTCACACTGAGCTTTGCTGTGCTTCTTGAGGCAGTCCTCTGGGATCTAGGTCCTGGGCAGAGGAGGATGGAAGCCAGAGGAGGGGGTTCATCAGGATCCTTGTTGTTGGGAATTGGGTGCTGGGGAGCAAAGACCCAACCCCAGACCAGGCAAGGTCAGGCGGGAGTCAGCCGTGTGATGCTGCCTGCCGTTGTTTTTGAAGTGCATTTTGCCCTTCCTTGACCTGGGTGCCTTTCCTGCCTTTGCTTCAGGCCCGTCATCTGTCTAAGGAGAGCAGGAAAGGGACTTTTGTCCGGTGCTAAGCAAAGGGAGTCACGCCCTTCCTGGGGTGCCCCGGATGCCCTGGGCTCCCTGAGGTCTGGAGAGCCTGGAGCGGCCCAACCGAGGCCCTCCTCCATGCCCTTGGTGGGGAATGCCTGCTCTGAGCTGGCCCGGCTGCGTGGGGAAGGCAGGAGGGGGGACAATACGGAGCGCGGAGGTTTTCCATAGGAGGCTTGGTCTTGGAGGGCTGACCTTGCCTCCTTGTTCTTCTGACACCACCCTCCTCCAGATTATTGCCAGGCGCCTCCCACCTGACCAGCTCATCAGTCTCTTGCTAACCATGTTTGAGAGCCTGGGGGACCCTGTCAAGAACTGCTCCCGAGCAGCCACTGTCATGATCAACTGCCTACTGAAGGAACGCGGCAACATGCTGCTGGAGAAGGTGCGAGGCTGCGGCTGGGAGTGAGGCAGGGCAGGGCAGGGCAGGGCAGGGGCGGGGCAGGGCAGGGCAGGGCAGGG